CATGAAGTCATAGAAGTATCAAACTTGCGGACTATTTCTTTTCAAACACTGTGGTCACAAAGAAACCTATGGGTCAACTCGTATTGTGTTGGATTATATAATAGGGGAAAAGACCAGCACTGCACAGCAGTTTTCTAGACTCATCAAACCTTGCTGTGGGGTGAAAAATGGCCAAATCGGGAGAATATTTTTCCATAGGAGTTGATTGGCAATGGTTTCAGATGTAAAAATGCATTAGAAAGTAGCAACTGGCAAAACATTCCCAATATTTGGCGAACTTTTACTATTTCCAAACCCCAGAAGAGTGCCGTAGAGGCTACATTGCACTTTTAACCTTACGGATAACTAGTACGTATCAGAAAAGTAAATCCACGTACAGCAGGCAAGGCCGGGCATGAGCACAGTGAGTCCTGTATATCGACCTAAGCTGAGAGGTCATCGCTCAACTGAAAATAATCCGATGTCTCTTATCGATAAAATAATCCCTTTTTTCACCCGGAGGGGGACCACCTTATACCATTGACCATCGCTTATCCGTTTGTGCGCGTGTCAACCCGGGTAACCTGCCATCCATCTGGCTTACACGGACTTTCGTCGCGACAAATATGGCAGAAAGGCTTTGATGTGGCTGGGAAACAACCTTGTGGCAGGATTTGCGAAAAGCTGGTAGGAGCCGATACAGGCAAGGCCACCATCGGAGAGAAAATCCTGTCCAGGAGTGACGACCACTCACAAAAGTTTTGACAACTGTCTGAAAACTAAATGAATGACAGGAAGAAGGGCATAGGAAAAGGAAAAAAACGGATGTGCGAATGTATCTTAATGCAACTTTATGGATCGAACATGAAGAGTTAGAAATATCAAAAGTTACAAGCGAAAAAATGACATTTTCTCTCGATAAATTCTTGAAAATTGGTCTTTGTAACTAAATCTCCGAGACCAAATAAGATTTATTCTAATTTTTGTTTGAGAATGAAAACAACAGCACTGATACCAATGTTAAACCTCCTGATGAGAACGGACATGTTAAGTATTACTTTCAAATACCATCATTTCTGCTTAAGTCGGCGTGCAGCCCTCAGCACGCCTCTCCGAAATAACTTCTTGCTCGGATGACTTCACAATAAAGCTCGCTTCCACCCGGCCGCTTCCCGAAGGTTACTGCCAGTCGGTCAATTTTACGACTGCCTGAGTGTACGTACTAATTTGATTGGGTATTCCGAGCGCGCATCGCTTGAGAGAACACAGGGTGGAGGGGAGGGGGAGGGGGGCGATAGCGATCGAGCGTTGATCTGAGATTTGAGCTGAAGGGCAGCAAGAGCGCCAAGAATGTGATGCTATCTGCAATGTTCATTCACCGTGTAAAAACTTCGCTGCGTTCTAGGTCTAAACAATCGACATCTGTCAACAAAAACGGGGACTTTAGAGCGACATAAATTCCGGTATGGGCCAGTTTTTATCACAGGTGGAAAACCCAGTCGTAAGAATCATTACACCGTGAAATGTGACATAAAGACGCAGCCGTTAAAAAAGTATTTGCCACAATCCAATACAAACGGCGACTTGGTAATCAATCTAATAAAAGTTGAAAGAAACTTAATCGGTCTGGTTGGTTTATCAAGGCGAGGTCTGTGGGTGAAGTTTCATAAGCTGATGTCAACACATAACCTTCAAACAGGGTAGGAAATTTGCATCCCGTTAAGGCCGTGGCATTAACAGGTTCAGAACCACCGTTTGTGCATGAACGCTTCTGCAAACCAAGAGCGAGAGGTATGCTCAGGTGCGAAAGTTCCGCCAAGTGCAAGAAATCGCCTTATACCTATGTAAAAGCGATTCACAACGATCCATGTAAGTAAGTGTCCGGCCACATACACACTACGACAAGTTTACAGCAGATCACGGCAAATTAACGACTCTCTTGCAACTGTCGCGAGCGTGTCGTACGAACGTCAACTGTTGTCGCGGATCCATGGCTAAAATCCTACGACAGGCAAATTGCAAAGACCAAAGTGACCATGCTTAAAGCCTGTAGTTTAAGAACAATCTTACCTTTAATAGTAGACAAAGCTAGCTTCACGTCGTAGTTAACCTTTCGTCGTTTGAAAACCAAAGACTTTCACTCCACAGTACTACATCCGGGGTACTCGTTCGCGTCAAGTTGGGACACAGTGGGCTAAACTTAGGTCTTACATCCGGGACCTTCACAAAATTAAAATGGCTGTCATCCGTGAAGTTTCCAGTCCAACAGAGTGGCAGCAATGATTGCTGAAGGGCAGTTGTTTGAACTTTGAGCCGTTGTAATGGGACAAAGAACGGAACATCTCGGAACGTCACAAAATATACATTTCTGGCATTCGGGAATCTCCTTAGTACAACAGAGGGACAGTATAGGATGCTCGTTAAAGGACATTGCTGTAAATTGACAAGAATTTTGACAGAAAAACACTAAAATTTGTCGGAGAAAGATTAAAACGTGACGGAGAAAAACTGAAAATTGAAGGAGAAACACTGCACTTTGACCCAATTTGACGGGCCTATAAAATACTAAATTGAGATAAATGACAGACATATCAGGTGTAGGATACTCGACAGACAGGTCGCATGCAAACTTTCTGTCATCCGTAAACTTCCCGGTCCAACGGAAGGTCAGGACTTGTTGAAGACTGTACCACCGAAATCTGACCCGGTTCCAAATGGAGATAAATGCCGCGGGATCCGGCTTAGTAGCTGCTCGGGTCTTGACGAGCAGATCCGAACATCGCAACAGACGCGAAAATCAATTAAAATTATGATGCGACTTCCGCTCAATTAGGTCGAATCGTATGTCACGCGACCCTCCTGGTAGGGCAGGCCGGGTGTGACATCACCTATCGATTCTGACGGCGCGCTCATGGACACTTCCGCTTGTGTGAGCATCAAGCCCCGGATAAAAGGGTTAAAACGGCACCAAACCGAGTTACCGGGACTTCGGGGACTCCGGGTCACAGAACTGAGCTCCAGGTCTGCCATGTTTTCACGCAATGATGCCCAGCAGCGATGATATCTCTACAATAGCAGATTTGTTTCTAGCGTGGGACGAGATGTATGATAAAAGGCGAAGGGAATGGGATGGGACTTCTAGACACACACGGGACAGGCCATTTTGAACAAATCTCCTGGCGATTTTCCAATTATGAATTTGTTCAAGATGCATAATGCATATCGCTAAACACCCTATGGGACCATATACATATAATGGTAAGAATCAGCATTTTTGTCTTTATTCCCTGACCTTCTAAGAGGGTATCCTTTGTTCTGCCTTTAAGCCACTTCAGTACCCTTTTGAACCCCTCTCGTCGCCCCAGATACCAATCATCATTTGATGATATTTATTTGACTCATGTTGATTGCATGACATCTGATTCTTTGTTTATTTCAAAATTTATCTATTCAAGACAAGCTCAAATTGACCTGCAGGGAGCTTTTCCTTGAGGGGGCAACTCGATGTACTAGTACATGTAAGGGTGAGTAATGTAAAGTGCTTTTCCAAGGACACGAAATCCAGGCTGCATTGAGCCACCCCAACATGTCCTGTATATATGTAAATACTACTAACACACTGCGAGTAGATGCATGGTACGACGTTTGCGGCTGAGGGTTTAGGCTACGATTCTCGAAATAGAACCTCGGCAAATTAGCAACGGGAAGCGCGTGTGCTGAGGGAGCAAGAAAGGGCTGCATCTCTGAGAGCAGGAGACTGTGATCATTGCTGCCGGTCAGGTGGAAGAACGGACGTGTACAGTGAACACGTACAGCCACTGACTGCTGCATGCAGCTGGGTGGAAGTAACTGAGGTCTGAGTAACGGGTGCTGTCATGTGTGTAGTGTTGTGGCTGACGGAGTTATGATATCAATGCAAACTGAGGTGGAAAGAAGTTGAGCGCAGTGTGGCGGAGGCGAAGTCCCTCTCCCCAGTTCAAAACCGAGCGAGGGCTTCGCTGCATTAGAACTGCCCTCCTTCACCGCCTGTCCTTGTACACTTGAATGTAAGTACAACTAACAGCACTGACTGCACTTTTGATGTAGCTTGTACATGTTCGCGTCTACCCCCCCCCCACTTTCTACCATTTGTTTACACTTACCAACTTGGTCAATGCACATGCGCAGCTGCTAGCAATCCGCTGTTTTGCCGGCTCAGCAGTAATGAGACTGAATTCCCATTTGCGCCAAAGACGCAATGCTCAGAGATATCGATGAAAAATGCATGTAGCATGATAGTTTGTACGACAGAAAAATAGATCATAAAACAGGAAAGGTGTGCTACGCAATGCTTAGGTATGTCATCCTCACACAGGCTATAGACCTGCATATGTTCCTCAAAACACTAGGGGGCAAAATTCTAATTCACTCTCTCATCTACAATACCGAGTTATCGATAAAAAATGTAGTATGATAGTTTATATAGTTCTACGACATAAAAGTAAATCATAAAATGGGAATGGTGTGCTGCGCGATGCTAAGGCATGCCGTGCTCACACAGGCTATAGACCTGCATATGTGCCTCAAAACACTAGGGGGCAAAATTCTGATTCATCCTCTCATCTACAACCCTTTTCCACTGTAGGATGAGACTGCTGAGCGACCAAATATTGGACAGATCCCTCGAGAATTTCATTGAGAAGTAATTTTTTTCTACGTGTTGTGTGTTCGTGAATTATATTCCAATGATAAAATCAAGGGTCACACTAATTCAATTTCGGTCGATCAACGATTATCATCTAGTGGCAATGGGGGCACAGAGACCTCCTGAGGACGACAAAAATCACAACATGGCGTTCATGGCAAAGGGTACCATAATAACATCTCGTTGGGGGTAACTATACATGGATATGACACAGCCATGTCTATCACACTCAAACACACGCTAAAATCATGACATGCATTCAAAACGTCATCATAACGTGTTCACAACTACCACCACTGGTGCACTAAAAAGGAAACAAACGCAACTAAAACATTACCTCCTTCTAGAAGACACAAAAGCAGGTAGAGCGTCTTGTTGCACTCGGGTATTCACCAACACGTTAGTAATTCGGCCGGTACAGTGCAGGTATTACCACCTAACGACCTGTGTGCTGCAGGCACGCACGCACCAAGCACTCGCGAGAATAGATCTAGAAGGTCATTACCACACTCTCCCCCGCACACGGCTCGCTTGGCTAACCCTTACAACCTTCTCTCGTCAGATTTCCCCTCCACAACTCATCTCAGTTCGGCAACATCTTGTCTGCGTCATATTGAGATGCAAATCTCGGTCCACCACAGGTGCTGTGCGTGCCTGAGATGGTAGACCCCGACCATGCCCACGCTGACACACCTATACTATGTACGTGTGGAGAAACGCAGACACGACTTACCATTATGCTAGTGGTCGGCGGCGCCTGGTCTAACCCCTGGGGGATGAACGTTACAGGATGCCTGCCCTTCTAACGCCCTGCTAGGGTTCCTCTCTTCTACGCTGTTGGTAAAAGATCCTGGCCCTGACACGGTATCTGTAGAGCGGCGAACCGAATGACTAGATTAGAGTCTACCAGCGCCCTGCGAACGCCTCGTCCGCGGCGGCGGGCACCACATGAAGATAGATCGGCACGTCACACTCTCTATTCATTAGCCCCATTATCGATGGGTACGGGAGTGCAGAGCTCTCGTGTCGGCCCAGCGGAGACTCGTGCCTCGGGGGTTTTCTCTCCGTCTTACGGAGATCTCATTATCCTCGGGAGGTGGCGGCGCGGGAAAATCGAAGAACGCGCTCATCGCTCAAAATTACTCTTTCCGTTATGGCGCTTTGGTTCTTGTTGATGATTAAGCAAGAACACTGTGTTCTAGAAACATCCAAGTGCTAGGTTGTGATTTTCAGCAAATGTTTGTTGGATGCCTGGTGTCATGTAAATGGTCGTTCATCCCATTGACGTGAAGTACAATTTCTTTATCGCTCCAGACAGGCACAGACTCAGGTTCTATGGTACACTTAGAAAAACCATTTACCCATGTTTTCAACCGCTGCCCCTCAAAATTAGCCCGCATGGGTGCTATCTGATTTGTTTGGGTTACCTCAGGCAACCCCGATTTTTTTGGGTTACCTCAGGCAACCCCGATTTTTTTGGGTTACCTCAGGCTACCTTAAAATATTTTCCTGAGACATTACAATCATCATGTATTTGAACTATTTCTGAATTTGCATTACACAGCGCACGAGTAAACAGAACTTGCTTACTGTTTAGAATTCCATCGTATCATTGTCATTTCAACTTTTGATTTTGAGCCACTTTAGACTACTTAACGCTAGCAGAAACATTTATCAAGTCTTAAAAACCTCAAACACTGTTGTTAGACATTCTAACTCTTAAGACACAGCGACGTTCTCCTGATACATGCACACATTCCGCCCGCGGCCGGCTGATCACGAGACGTCGCCTGAACAGGACGAACGCCGTGGAATCGGCCCAGCCCTCCTGAGGAATGTCCGCATCAGCCGTGAGTGTGCGGCGTGAGGGATGAGCCAGTCTGAGGTGTGATTGCCTCTCCTACGTGAGACCATTAGTGGCCACAGTCAGCCGTTCTAACTGGCCGGAATGTGCGGTACGGTCTAACTGATGGGGACGTCGTTCTACCACAGTTTGTCTGCAGGGCTGGACCACGCGATAAAAACAAACGGTTTAAGGAGTGATCGTTTTTTTGAGTGGTGACTAATCATATATAGCTGGTGTGACATTTCATTTGTTAGCATTTGAGACTATTGTTCATGACTATGCATTGTTAAGACTCTAGTAAGACAAAAATAATAGCTTGAATATTTGCGGAAGATTTTTTCAAATTTCATGTGGTAAAATCTATAACTTGAACGATATAACATTCAGAAATGAAGGTATTTTTATCCCTGGTGACATTTAACCGGCCCAGCGCAATCACATCTCGGCTGGAATTGGCTCTACAGTGTAGATAATGGGAACTGTCATTCTCACGCCGTCTGTCCTCTGTGGCAGGCCGTGCTATTGCCGTTGGTCTAAAGTGCAGGTCGTGCTATAAAAACAAACTTTTCTCTAAAGTACCGATGTGACGTCGTCATGTAGTGGAACCCTTCCTTGTGAAATAAAGATTCCCTTCATCACGTACATACAGATTTAAGAAAGACAGCAGTTAGACACTGAAAGACAGCAGATAGAACAAGTTCGGAAGTGTGTTTCATCTTCAGCAGCAATGCACCGGGTTTTCAGCACCAAGGAGAGATGCCGTGAGGGCTTTCCACCGTTTTTCCGTCACTCCGTCAATTCATTTTTTGTCGAATTCAGCGACTTTTTTGTACTATCTGTACTGATACTGAACACAAACACACAGACAGACACACACACACAAACACTCGCACACACACACACACACATACACAAATGAGTTCCAAACACAGTCAGAATGAAGACCAGACTCACCCTACCCAGTCGCCCTGGTGCATTATCACCATAAGCAGTATAGAGAATTATGAAGCAGAAGGCTTCTCTGGCTCCTCGCCAAGACAGACGGGTTACCTTGGTGACAGGTATCACCCTCGGGGGGCCTTCCCGCTCGTACCTTTATGACGAGTGAACCTGTCTATCGAGACTGGCGCTGTCCTAACCTGAGATTGATGCTCTCATTCCCCGCGCGATTCGCCGCTGATGAAATGGGCATATTGTCTCCCCCGGGCGATAAAACCGCGCCATCGGCGACACAAATACAGAAAAGGGTATCTTTAACCTGCCACCCCGCCGCCGGAATGACGAGCGATAGCCTGTATGGAACCTACCCATCATCATAAACAGCCTGCTGAGAGGATTACGGCCGCTAAGTATGACAAAAAGCCGCTGTCAGGGATAACAAAACAGTCTATTGACGAGACACAGATGCGATGTCGTTGCGTTATGGCCTCCGTGTATATAACAGCTACCCGAATGACCGTAGAATATAACAGCGTTTTCCTCCCATCTAACCCCGGTATAGAAAACCGGGAGAAGTTTACGACGGAGGTTACAAACATGTGACAGGCTCTGTGAGTAATCTCCCGGCAGATCTACGGAAGGAGGGTCGTAACGTGTTCTAACTGCCTTGTTTTTCTGACAAGCTGCCATAACAACAAAACCTCATTTTGTGAGTAGCTGTAAATGCTGGGAGTGTTTCCTGTGGGAACAAGGTAGTCAGGGATGGCAGACTTCAACCCTTTACCCACACTGCGTAACGACACTTCCAGTCACACTGAGAATGACTGTGACTAAAAACACTGAGTATGTATGGCAAGGCTGCGTTGGGCACGTCGGCAATCTCAGAAACACAAACGGACAGACACACAAACAGACTCCCGAAAACAATACTTCACTCCCTCACAGCGAAGCCAAGAAACGTGATTTCTTCTTCATCATCTGCTTGTAGATGTTTTTGGGGAAAGGCAGTCCACTCGCGCCCGGACAGGGTTCCCGTATCGGAGCCCGGCGTTCCCGCCATCTATCTTGGTGTAGGAATGATCTGGTTAATACGGCTAATGTGACGCTGACCCCACGCAACAAGGATGGATCGGACCCGCCCAGAAGGTTCAATAAAGCCCGCAGATAGTGACGGACGACTCTGATACCATATCTCTACTTCGCGGTGGATGGAGGCGAGAAGTGGGGAGCTAGGGGACAACGACCGAAAGATCACCATACGTACAGCAACTATTGCAACAAAGGCTCAAAATAGAAATGTTAAAAAAGGGACAAAACGTCTTTTCAAAGTTGCAAATGCTGTACAGAGAAGATTATCCTTAAGAAGATTATGTCCTGGGTATCCCTACTGCATGACGACACCATGACAATCATTGTTCACCGTATAAGATATCGCGGAAGGAGATAGATTTTCACATTGGAATTTGGATGAATGTAAGCTGATTTCATTGAATTATTGTGGATGCTATGTTAGCTACAGAAATACAAGACTGGATTAGAAACAAATATCTATACAAAACATATTTCTGATCGATTATTGGTTTGCAATCAACGAATATTATGCAATTCTTAAGCATATCCAACCGTTTTATGTAGAAACAATCATATCTAGAAGTAATCAATACTCTGATGTGAAAAATGATATGGTAAATTCTTTAAAAAAATCAAATTTTTCACAGCATCAATCCTCTCTAAAAGTGACAACCCCTGGCTAATAGACTTACTCATCCACACATCCACTCCGTCTTACGACAGACCATGCGACAAATAAACTGCCGACTCCGTAATCCCCGTCTAAAAGGTAATCATAACTCCATCAGTGGATCAGTCATAAAACTTATCCACGCTCCCCCCGCGCCAATGATTCCTTACAAATCATCGGTTTTATCTGTACCCGATATCTCTTCCCGTCACCCCGGGAACAGTAAAACGGAATCCACCCGCTCTGTCAACGCCGATTCACCGCGCTTCCGTCTCTCCAATACCTCGGTAGGTTACTATCCAAGCAGAGGTTTGGGTTTGGGGTTATTTTTGGCGTGTTTTAGGCTTTTTATCGGGGTTTCTTGCCATGAGTTGGGTGGAAAAAAAACTTCCAGTGCAAAAGAGAAACCCCGACAAAAAAAGCCTAAAAACACGCTAAAAAATAACACAAAGCCCAAACTTGGAGAGTACAGTAGGTAGCCTCCACCAGGCCTTCCTAAAGGGGAGTAGGACGGTAGAAATGTTCGGCAAAAATAATATTTAACTGGCCAAGATAGTGGGTACATTGTTTCATCCCCCATCACGGGCAAATGAACTCTACCGGTGGCTAAACTTGCCTGGCTAATTATTATTCCCATTTGGTTAAATTTTCCTGTTTTTGAAGCCGCTTTGTCAGTCTGGTGGAGACTAGAAGTAGGGGAGAGTTCAGAAGTACGGGCCGGAATAACCGTGATATATCCGCCGTCTGTAGGAGCTTTAACGCCGAAGTTAATAAGATGGGGAGGGGAGGTGATCCGACGCATCCCACTGCTTGCACCCGAAGATTTATTATCCGCACGGCCATGAAATATTAAAGAAGGAAAGATGTTTTAATAATTCATCCGCCAGGGGTGTGAAGCGGCGGTCCCGGGGGAGGTGTGCCCCGGGCACAGCCAGGCGAGCGCCTCGCGTGGAACTCTGCTGGCTAAAACTTCGGCTTTCTTTATTACTGCATAAGGGCAAGGGGACAGTCTTAGGCATCATGGCGGCGATTTGGGAGAT